GCCGGGATGGCGGTGGGGAAGGTGGGGTTGGGTAAGGTGCCAAAAAACTTTGGGAGTTCTGTCTGACAGAGAGCCCTGACGCAGAGCAGGAACTTTGGAGCATTGTTAAACATTGAAGTTTCAGGGCAATAGGGACCATCTGACAGATTTCTGAGCACCTACCACAGATGTTTTACATGTTTGTGTTTACCAACTTTACTGTAGTTTGTGAGTGCGCTGGATTTACCAAAGCACGCTGTGTCAATCTGTGTCACCCTTGGCATTATTGATCTTTTGTTAACATTTTGTGGCAGTAAGTGGGTTAGGGAGCGATTTGAAAAGCAGAAGGTGCAGATACAATTGCAAACAAAAAGCCCTGACATCACAAGTCGGTTATTGGGTCTACTTTATAACAATTACAGATTAATCTGCAATTATTAAACATAACTAAATCTGAAAAAGAATGAAAAATAATGGCTTCCATTCTATTCACAAAGTGCCTTGCAAATGGTATTTTTCCTTCATGCTTTAATATAATACAATAATGTGTTGATTGTGATATCTTGTAAAAGGCTTAAACAAAGCAGAGCATAACTTTTACAACTGAAAGCCTGAGAGTTAATTTGGAATGCAGATATATATAAGGCCCTTCTTGTAAGTAAATTGTAGGACTTCCTCTTATTGCTGTTTCCGCTTGAGCTCTTTTTCATCAAAAGGCAGAATGGTTTGCTCATTCTTCTTTGCAAAATACCTCAGGCTCAGAATATGTAGAGCTTTGTGATTCTTTTCATAGTTTTCAAGCACATTTAGGTCTGGACTTTGACTACGCCATCATATTCAAATAAAATAATGTGCTTAGACAAACAAAAAATTCCATTGCAGCTCTGATTCAACTTATTTGTTTCATTCATCTTCCCACCAACTTTTGGTAGCATCATTGTCTTTGCCAAAGCCAGGTTTCTTTGCAACCTGTATCAGTTCAGTGTTACTTTCCCATACATTTTATACACTCAACAAAAATATAAACGCAACAATTTTGGTTTTGTTCCAATTTTTAATGAGATGAACTCAACAATCTATAACTTTTTCCACATACAGAATATAACTATTTCCCTAAAATATTGTTCACAAACCAGTATAATTCTGTGATAGTGAGCACTTCTCCTTTGCTGAGATAATCCATCCCGCCTCACAGGTGTGTCTTATCAATATGCTGATTAGACACCATGATTAGTTCACAGGTGTGCCTTAGATTGCCTACAATAAAAGGCCACTCTGAAAGGTGCAGTTTTATCACACAGCACAATGCCACAGAGGTCGCAAAATTTGAGCGAGCGTGCAATTGGCATGCAGACAGCAGGAATGTCAACCAATGTTCATTTCTCTACCATATGCTGTTGTTTTAAAGATTTTGGCAGTACATCCAACCATTCTCACGAGAGCAGACCACGTGTAACCACAACAGCCCAGGACCTCCACATCCAGCATGTTTACCTTCAATATCGTCTGAGACCAGCCACTCGGACAGCTGCTGAAACAAATGGTTTACATAACCAAAGAATTTCTGCACAAACTGTCAGAAACCATCTCAGAGAAGCTCATCTCCATGCACGTCGCAATTATTGGGGTCTCAACCTGAATCCAGTTCATCATCATAGCCGACTTGAGTGGGCAAAATCTGGTGTCTGGCACATTGGAGAGGTGTTCTATTCATAGATGAATTGCAGTTTACACTGTTCAGGGAAGATGGCAGAGAGCATGTGTGGCATCCTGTGGATGAGTGGTTTTCAGATGTCAATGTTGTGGATCGAATGGCCTATGGTGGCTGTAGGATTATGGTATGGCAGGTGTATGTTATGGATAGAGAACACAGGTGCATTTAATTGATTGAATTTTTAATGCAGAGAGATACCATCATGAGATCCTGAGGCCCATTGTGCCATACGTCCAAAAACATCACCTCATATTGCAGCAGGATAATGCACGGCCCCATGTTGCCATGACCTGTACACAAGTCTTGGAAGCTGAAAACGTCCTAGTTCTTGCATGGCCGGAAAACTCACCAGACATGTCACTTCGCACAGCCATTGAAGAAGAGGGGACCAACATTCCACAGGCCGCATTTGACTACCTGATCAACTCTATGCAAAGATGTGCTGCCATGCATGATGCAAATGGTGGTCACACCTGATACTGAATGGTTTTCTGAGTCCTCAGACCCCCCCAATAAAACAAAGCTGTACCTTTCAGAGTGTACCTTTTATTATGGGTAGTCTAAGGCACACGTGCACTAATCATGGTGTCTAATCAGCATCTTGATAGGGGCACACCTGTGAGGTGGGATGGATTATCTTGTCATGGTTTTATCAAGAGCTCGGACCCACATGCAGAGAAACCGATTCAGAGAGACCAGGGGAAAGGTTTAACAGGTTTATTGAAGATATAATGCTGAATCAAGTGTTGCTCTGAGCACTGCTCAACCGGAAGTTTCCAGAGAAGTTGTTGACTCTTTGACTCCAGTCTGTGTGCGGTAGTTCGAGTGTTTGTCTGATTTGGTGGAGGGCGAACAGGGTTTACCCAGAATACGGTTGTTTGTAGGTGAACGGAGAAGCTGATTTCCTGCGGTACTTGAACGGGTCGTAGTGAAGATGAATCCCTTGCTCAGTGTGAAGCTCAAACGATCTCTTGAGGGTAAGTGGATTCAAACCTCCAGTTTAAATCCTCAGTTCAGTCTGAAACTCAGATGATCCTTCCAGGGAGAGAAGGTCGAAACATCCAGTTTGCAGGATGACTTCCGGCTGAGAGGCAAAGACAAAAAACAAGATTAAGACTCAGGTTGACAAGAACTCAGTTTGACTCAGCAAAACTCAGCTTGGCTAGAGTACCCAAAACTGGAAAACACTCTGGCGTCGAGGTAGTGGCAGTCAGCAGCTTAAGAGTGCTCCATTAACGAGGTAACCCTATGCAGGTGTGTGGGGAGGCGGACCAGAACAAGGCGCCTCCTGGTGGAGGTAGGGAGACAAACACAGAAACACAAACACAAACACACAGACAGGAATCCTGACATATCTCAGCAAAGAAGAAGTGCTCACTATCACAGATTTAGACCAGTTTGTGAACAATATTTGAGGGAAATGGCTATATTTTGTATGTGGAAAGGTATTTCAATCTTTGATTTAATCTCATAAAAAATGGGAGCAAAACCAAAAGTGTTGCGATTATATTTTTGTTGAGTGTAAAAAGGCCAAAAAGCTCACATTTTGTGTGATCTGCCCAGAGCAATTCATGTTTGTTATGTCCTCTACTTTAATTTGTTAAAACAAAAATAGATTTTCTTTGTAGTGCGACCAAGTCATTACAAGTCAGCATTGGCAAGTTTCAATCGGAGTCACAAGTCAAAATCAGAAATTGTTTTTTAAAATGAAATCCTTTCAACTTCGAACCAGATCTATTCGGCGTGTCCCTTGATTTTCATAATCCTGATTGTTCACTCTTGTTTTCTTACAATCCTTCTTGGCCTGCCTGCACTTAGCAGCTGTATTTGTACTGTTAATAGAATATCTATCTATGAACTGCTACACACACTAGATGATGTGTAAAGAACCTAATGCACTGTTTTCTATGTATGGATAAACACACTAAAAGAGCTGAAAAGATGCAACAAACATTTCGCAACTTTCATTTTCTAAAACTTTGTAAAAGCTGTCTTATTTTCCCTTCACTTAAAATCCTGTAGTACTTGTACCACATAAACCCTTAATAGGGAAACATTGTCATTTTTATCACAGCACATAATGCTCTCTCTTCATGGTGATTATGAATTTTATTTTACATTACATATTCCTGTGTGCTAGCTACGTACCTTATATGCCTTTAATGGTATATAACCTCATTATGAGCTGGAAGAAAAAGTACAGAGATACCCTAAAGAAAACGACCAATCCTAATGTGTGCTCACATCATTAACTTTTACCATTACAAATAACTTTATGGTGAAATTCCTTTTAAAAACAATGGTCAGGCCAAACTAAAGGCTATCAGGGGTTGCTGTTAATTTTTTCTTTTCCTACAGCGGCACACACTTTGAATTGCCCTTTTGACTTCTTCCCTCTTTCTCTCAAAGGGTTTTGCAGCCAGAAAAACCAAGACTTTTCCATTTTGCGCGGCCCATGCAAGAGATACACTGAAAGTGGAAAAAGCTGTTGCACACCTGTGATTTTTTAGATGGGGGGTCTCTGGCAGAGGCTACTTCCAGCCTGCAGAGGGGGAAAAGAGCAGAGCAAGAAGCCCACCGCAGGGCTCCTCTCTGGATCTCATTTTCACATAGCGGGGTATAGAAAGGGGGCCCAGGAACCGGCAGGCAGGTGAAGGGTGTAGACTATTGCAATGCTCCTTTGAAGTGCAAAGAAAGAAAGTAACCTTACATATTTGTAAGTTTAATCTTGATAGTTTAGAAAAAAGAAGAAAAAAATGTGTGTCTATATATATAGCTATATATTTTTTTTATATATACAAATACATATTCATGCTCATTATGTTACAGTAGTTTTTTATTGAGAAAGATATGCTTCTACATAAAGCTCATCCAGCCTTTCTTTGAATCTCTATGCTCTATTTCATACATGCAACCCAACAGCCGCACAGAAAATGTCTTTCTGCTTAACCATTTCTACCAGAAGGGGGACCAGTCCGTCTGCCGTAGACGGAGAGTGGCCGACGGCGAGCATGAAGGCAGAGGAGACGGCAGGGTGAGCAGAGTTCCACTCCGGATCCGAGGATCGAGCGGATCCAGCAATCCGCATTTTGCCACGAGCCCTCGGATTTTAATCATGCCTCTCTGTCTGTGTGTGAGTGCAGGCAGGCTGACAATGATTTCCTCAGTGATTACGTACAGAGCGAGTCCCTGCGGGGTAGGGGCCCCCTCTGGAGCCATCCTGATGGCTTTGGGGGCCTTGCTTCCATTTTCCATTATTATGTGGACTACCGGAGCGACAGCGCAGTCCAAGACCTTGCAGGTTTGTGATGAGGAGGGAGCTTCCATCTACTCTCTGCTTCTTCAACCTCTTTTAAGAGCAATTTAGACATAGACTAAGATCACATTCCCGAACCTAATTCATGATTAGCTGACCGGAGAGAGAAACGGGAAGAGTCTGCTCTAGTTCTAATACTGTTAGGTGGATTTGAAGTAAAAAAAGTGTGATTATAATTTTTCCTTTTTTATTTTTATTTTTTTTTTGGGAGTTTTATTCCTTTTTTTGTGCTCTCTCGTAGGAGGTATTTTGCAGATGCCTTTATAACGCGGATGCATTTGAGATGAGAAACGAAAAGCTTGTAGCTATATTCCGCTTTTCATCTCTTATCTGAGCGATCATCATGCCCACACGCGCGTCTCTTTTCCCGGAGAAAGGACGCGGCATGACGGGATCGGCACATTCTCACACTTTTCCAGCTCAACTGTAAACACACCGATCGGGGCTAATTGGATTTTATAACATCCACCTACTCATCACAAAAAAAATATAACAGGCAAACTCGCGTCCACAGCGCGCGGCCACGCACGGCTGGAAGTTGCATCTTTCTGTAATGGCGCGATTTTTCGGCCAGGGCAATTTAGAGAAATCATACCCATAGACTATCCCGTCCTGCACTGAAATTTACAAGGCAGAAACTGAGCAACTTCAGCTGGGGGTTTTCTTTTCTGTAGGATGTCGCGCCGCAAGCAAGCGAAACCAAGATCACTGAAAGGTAAGTGATAAGCCTGAGTATTTATTTATTTTTGTTGGCTCTCTCCAAACATTTGCTGCCAATTAAGGGGGATGCAAATGTGTGTTATTTTACGCATTTTACGCATCTTTTTTTTTTTTTTTTTTTTTAAAGAGCGGCAGTAGACGGACTTTACGTTTGAGAGGAGTATAACAACAAATTGTTTTCAAATCAAATAAGCAAAAGGATGATCTGCTTCAGTTATGGTTGCGTTGTGGTGACAGTAAAAGTGCAAGGGAAGGGCAATGGAGAATGTAAGACAGGAAGAGAGAAAGAGAGAGAGAGCAACAGCGGAGCGCGACGCTGGATGCGCACATCTGGATGCGTTAAAGGCGCTCCAGGTCGGATCTTGAGCCGAATGATGGAATGGGGGGGCTGAGTCACGTGATTCAACTCTGTGAGAAACTAAGGTGTAAAACATTTTTATATGTGAAAGGGAAAAGAAAAGGCTCCTTATGATTTACAGCGCAGACATATCTATATAGAGATATTGTAAAGAAAGATCCCTCAAATCTAACCATTTGCATTATTTATAAGTTTGATTATGCACATGTGAAAAAAGTGGGGAAATATCCTCTCTACACTATTTCTCTGTCATCTCTCTGACTTATTGGCTTTTACACAGTTGCAATGGCTTGCAATTTGATCCCCCATTTGTCATTGAGGGAGAAAGGGGGGGCAGTGAAATAGAGACAGAAACCCACAGTCTTCACACATGACTTTCCCTAGCTGCATATGCAGTGTGTTTGTGTGGGCAAAGGGGTGGGGTGGTGGGGGGGCTACAGAGTTTTGGAGTTTGATCTCCAGTTCATCTGGCAGACATTGTATTTTGCTCAGCAAATAATTGTCCACAATTTCCCTTTCTCAGCTTGTGGTCTGTAGCCCCTTTCTCCCCTTCTCGCTTTCATTCTTACCTCCTTTTTTTTTCCTTTCTCAGAAGTCTTCATCTCAAAAGAAGATTACATGGTCTTGCGGTAGTAAATTCATGCAGCCACCATTTTAAATCAATACCCAGGAGAGAAGTGGAAATGTTAGTGCAGCACATCTTTTCCAAAATCGTCTCCGTTCGCAGTAAACAACTCCATGCAAACATTTCTTATTTTCTCTGACATTATGGGGTTGGGAGTTATTTTTTCTTTCTTTTTTTTTTCATTAAGTACCATGACAGTGGTTAATCTCAAAAGACATATCAGTTAAACATATTTATTTGCAACCTAGCAATCTACAAGTGTGTTTGAAAGTATGCCGAAGAACATCTGTTTGGGTTTGTGCACATCAGTGTGTACGGCAGAGAAGGGATGTGTAGTGAGCAAATCAGCATGCAAATGAAGTCAGAGTGATGACATTGTTTGTGTTAGTCGTTGTCACAGAAAATTGAAATCGGAGAGGGAAGAAAAAAAAATGGCCGTTACGTCTGCATCTTTATTTCCACCGCTTTGGCCGAGGCAGAAGTGGAGAAATATGTCAGAGATATTTCCCTGTGTTTTGAATCAGACCCAAGGCAGGCCGGGCAGATGTTATTTATTGTTCTTTGTCTATGTCTTTCCTTAGGGACTAAGATGCACTCATACAGATGTACAGAATAACTTAACTTGTCATTTCCCTGAATAGTTGAATTCTCTCTTACTGTTTGCAGAGAGGCTGGAATTAGTGATTTTATCTTACGTTTTAGAAAGTCTAATTTTATATTTTTATTTTGGTTTCTTCATATATTTCTGTCTCACACAGACATGTGTGAGCCTCTGTCTGAATAGCTTCATGGTTTGAGAGTTTTGAGAATGTTGTTTTTAGGGCAGCGGTCAGTGCCCATAAAGAACATCTTGTCCTGCAGAGTAGGCCTACAGAATAAACAGGTGCAAATGAAAGATGCAGACATCATGTGTATGGATACAATAGACACGGCATGCATGGAGAGGAGATGGGGAAATAATGCAGTGACAGTTGACACTCTTCCTTTTTTTGCTGCCCCCCCTTGTGTAGCTCCCCCCTCCACCCCCAGCCCTTCCTCATGAACACCCAGTTTCTCGGTCTTGGTGGCTTTTGGGAGTCAGAGGTTATGTTTTTTGGTCCCATCGAGAAAAAGGGCAACATTACAAGTCCCGTTTCAATTAAGTCTGAGAGACAGATCCAGCTACGTTATTGCTTTGGGGAATAAATGGCACAGGACGAGACCATACATCATTCGCTTATATGCAAACACTTCACCCCGGCTACTGACATTTACTCAATCCCGAGTCTTCTGCGTTTCTCAACTGTAGGCATATTGTAATTTTGTTTTCATGTGCAGTGGCTTTGGGTCAGCACACAGTGAGCAGCAAGGCAAGGAGGATCTTCCTCCTGAATCCTGCACGACTACTGCCACGTTGCCTGTGTGACTGTTCTTCCTGAATAATGTCAGCCCAAGTTTATATTTTTTTCCCAAGCACAAATGAAACCCCAGCAATTGCAAGTTCATTTGCTAAAGGATAGACATTGCTAGATCTGTCGTTTGCATGTATAAATGCATTTCCTGCACCATTTACTTTGAGTGTAGCGATTGTCCTGAAATCAGGCCTGTATCATGCACTCCATAAATACTTAGTTTTTTTTTTAGAAGCAAAAATTTGCTGCCACATGTGTGAACTCTGGAGAATTGCTTTGTTGTCACAGTTAAAGATACAAGATTTTTTTTATTAAGACCTTTATTTAGACCTAAATATAACAGAATTTTAAAAAAGTATGCTGAAACAGATCAGTTTACTAAAACATATCTTGTTTAAAACTTCAATTTTTAAATGAACCCTTTTAAGAAAAAGTAAAAAGAACCCTGCAAATTCTAGATTTCTTAGAAAATTAAGTATTTTTTTATGTAAAAAAATGAATTTAAATAGTTGTAAGATTTGAACCCCTCCTCTTTACAGTTATAATTGTTTGCATCATGGGGGGAAATTTCCTAAATGTTAATTATTTTAATCATAAATACCATCCAAATTCATTTAACTCTTTATTCTGTGCACGCATTTGCAAGTAATATCTTTAGTGCTGATTTTTAACAGTGATTGTTGTGACTGAGATGCAGAAATAAACAGTATTTTGTATAATGTCTTGTCTTTTCTTAAATACTTATTAGCAGCGTCATTCTCAGCTGCCTCAAATTCCAGTACGCTCACAATTAATGATCTGTGGCATAACACCCATTAACGCTTTTCTAATGTGACACAAAAAAATAGTTTAGAATTATCATTAAGGAAATTATGACGAAGCCATGGAAAAAATCCCATTAGCATGCCTGTCAGTGCTCTTGACGTGCGGCTGAGTGTGTTGGATCGGGGTGTCGCGGGAGCTGGCCGATATCTGTCCTTTTTCCATGGCATGTGTCGCTCTTGTTGTCATGGCTTGTCTGCCACATGGAGACACACTTCTTAGTCAGAGACAGTGACTGATTTGTAGCACTGCTGCGGATGAAATTATAGACTAAGGATGAATAGCGTTAATATTTTCCGGAAGCTGAATTTGCAAAACGTGCATAATGAGGTTGTTGATTCATGACATTTGTCTTTGCTTTTAAATTGACACAATTGGAGTATCTTTTGATACAATTTATTTTAAACAATGGCAGCAATAAATGGAACATTACAAATATTATGCAACACAAACAACATGCTCCTTAACTGCAAATTATTTATGACACTAATCACCCGTTCAAATAATGCTCATTAAGAAAGTTATTCATGTGCAGTGCATGTCCTCCTCCCTCCCTTCTCCCCGGCCCTAATTGAGGAGGGTTGACCTCTTGACCCGAGCTAAATTGAGTTGTACTCCCCGTGGTGAGCGTCTCCTTGCTGGTCAGTCAGGGCGGATTACACAGGCATTGTGTTCGGCACTGTATCGTTCATGCTCGCAGTAACCAAGCAGATGAGTCACGCATATCCAGGAACACACTTTGGGGCTGTTTGAATGCCTGTAAGTTGCTCGCACCCTCCACGTTCCCCCAAAGTACGCCCCTCACAAACACACACAGTCTAAGGCTGACAGACACAAGCATTTGGACATGTGGAAAAGAAAGCTAAAAAACATTAAGCATTGACACATTTTATACACATACGTGAAAGAGTTGTCTTCAACTTTACGATTTGCTTTTTTTGTGCTAATTTTAGCATTTTGAAAGAGTATTTTTGCAGCTTTTCTAGTCTGTTTTGCCTTAATTTACCTTTTTTTTTGGACATTTTCCTTTTTATATCATTAAAAAGTTAATATTCTGATGATACTTACTTAGAGTTAGAGGTGTGCATAGCCAGGATGTTTGCTAAAGAGGCTAAATTCTGCAGAATCTAATTTATTTTTGCTGAACATATAAAAAAAATGAGAGGTTCTGCACCAAAATAGTCCCACGTGTCTTCACAGCTGTATAAACCATGTTTAGCACGACGGCAGCCTGTCACCGACTGAGTGATACACTGTACCTTGTCAAACAGTAATTAACTGATAGCAGTGATGCGTCTACAACAATGTGAACTAAGTTTTACTCAAGTAATTACAAGCCAATCATAGGCTTAAGACCATATTAATTAAAAAGCCTCTGCTAGTCATATTTGCTCTGTTCTTCCTGTTAATCATAGTCCAGCTTGTTGAAAACATCCCTTTACTTGACAGCTTACCCTTCGCGATCGCTCCAAGCTGGCTATTAATTATCAAGCAGCCAGGTACAAATGAGAAAAGCGTTTGCATGGCGATGAAAGTTGTTTACTTTAAATGGCAAAACTTTTAATAAGTTCGCAGTGGTGACAAATCATCACAAACTGCCGTAATGTTTAAGTTCTTATGGCATTGTAAGATAGAATTTTCTGCCTGAGCTCTCTCATCTCGCCAACAGTGACGGTAATCAAAACAAAAACTCTAGCTCCCGCCACTATTCTCTGATAGAACGGCGGGGGATTTATTAGGACCCCCTATCTGTAGCCCATTTAAATGATCCAAGATGCAAGGCGCTCAACGGTGCTACAGAAACTCATTAAACTCTCAGGGCGTCAGTCACAGAGGTCTCCTTTAACAGGACAAGTTTTCTCCGAAGGCTGAAACAGCGGTTCTGAGGGGATGTGCAGTTTTGTCCAACTAGGTCTGTTCCACCAATTTTAATTGATTGAACTAATTAATTGTCTGACTTTTGACCAGTTGTTTTGCATATTTTCCATGAATGTCTGAGGGATTTATTTCCTAAATGATTATTTCCTTGAAGTAAACACAGGTAGACAAAAAAAAGAAAGATTCTGCCATTTCCTGTTATATGTGCTGATAAAAGCTGTTCGGCTCTCTCCTCTTCATTTTTCCATTGATGTTTGTCACCCTGCTTGACACAGACTCTAGCTCCCCAGAGGGAAAGGCTTCTGCCTCCATAGGATCCCCATCTTAATTATGCAAAGTACAGGATATTTTGTGCGATTTTAAAAGTGCGCCAATCTCTGCTTTGGCAGTCACTGCCATACTTCCCTACAGGGAGGTCCTGTCAGCCCCCCCCTCCCAACTCACAACTCCCTTCCTCTTGGCCCAAGAAAATGAAAGGCTAGAAAGGAAAGACATAATGGAGAATGCATTTCAACTGCAGGGGTGGAACACAGAGGTGTATGAAGTCCTCTGTGAGACCCTCATTTTACATGGAACAGGTGGGAGACGCTTTTGTTCTCTTCCCGCTGTTAAAATCCATTTCGTTTCTTGTGCTTGACATGCCACAAGGAAGTCTCACCAGCTCCAGCAAGCCTCCAATGTAAAAAAGGTTCCACCTTTAACTAAACACAAGTTGTGTTTTTCAAGGCTAGTGGTATTGTCAAAAAGTCAAAAGTGACTTTGTTTCCATTCACCTAATGAAGTCTCTATCAAACAAGCTCAGTGTTATCATCCACCCTGTTAGAGAGTAAAAGCTCTTTGCTGCTGCTTTGGCAGTTTTGACACAGAAAGGAATCGAGGCTGTGCATTTTATAATACTAGAGGGTGCAAATATTAATCGGCAATTAATAGTATTGATCGATGATCAGCAGGTCAAACAGAAGCATAATAAATAAATGTATAAGAAAACAAAGGTTTAATGAAATTTAAAATAAATATGTTTAAAGTAAGTTATGGATAATGGATATAAGGATATTCTGTTCCTGTCCTTTTTCATCTATAGCTTTCCTCTATAATTGATCCTGTGGCAGATATTTCTCTTTTAAAGGAAATTCAAAGTCAGACTTTTAAAAAACTGAAAATTTGTATCAGTACGGAAAAGAAGCACATTTCTCTATGATACGTTTGCCATGTGCATTTGATATTTATGTGCACTGGAACCTGCTCCTCCATCTAATTTGTTAAACTTCCGTGCTACTCAGTCATCTTACTAATGTAGTCATCAAGGTGGGTTTTTTTTTCACCAACTTAGTCACTGTTGATGTTGGAGAGATGTTCCAAGGGAGATGTTTATAATTCATCACGTCATTACCTAGTCCAATATGTTATTTACGTGTGTGGCTGTTTGCTTTTTGCCAGAGCTCATCCACTTGAAAGGCTTATGTGAATTCCCAGACATCAGGTTGAGCCATGGAGAGCATCTGAAAGCTCTTTTAGTTTCCATCTAAAAAAAAAAAAAAAGAATAAAAAAATCTCAATTTGTCAAAGTTGTTTCTTCACTGTTAACTGTTTCTCTCCCACCCCCAACCCCCTTTTTTTGTCTTTTTGTTTCTGGCAGTAGAAGACAATGTGACAGAGGACCAGCACAGTCCTGGGCAGACTGCCATTCCAAGCGGTAATGCTCCATTTCATATTTCATCATTTTCGGCTGGAAAGTGGATCATGTATGTGTGTGTGTGTTTGTGTGGGTGTCTGTCTGTAAAACCGTTGTTAGGACAAGAGCGCTGAAAAAGTATCAGGTTCCTGTTTTTAAGGTTTTCATGGTGTAAACTGTACAGTTGCATGTGTTTTCCATAAGAGCGCAACCGAAAGCTCTGATGCTTTTTCTTGTATTTGTAGCTGGTCTGCATGCATGCAGGTGTGTCCATTACCTTCCTGGTGTTTCTATGGGTCTTTCTTGTCTTTTTTCATACTCTTTGTTTCCCATCCCACTGTATGATGTAAAATAGAGCTACGCAGATGAATGTGTCCTGTCTTCAAGCGTGCCATTCACAGTGGCCCTTCAGGAGCAGAGCGGTAATTCAGGTCAGGCTAGCAGAAAGCCCCCTATGAATGAAGCCTGCTCTTGATGCACCACACAGTATATTTTCATTTCATTTGTCTCTGGTAAAGGTTAAGTCTCAGGCGTGGTTATTTTAAACCTGATATGGATGGTTTTGCCCAGCAGGCTGGGGACCACAAGTACACCTAGGCTGACACATTAGTCCGGCATTTACCCAGTGTTCCTATGTGAAACAGCAAAGCTGTGTGCACCGCTATAAATACTTGCTTGGCTCAGCTATGCTTGAGGTTTCTAAAATGTTTATGTCTATGGAGTGCCGGTGTACAGATTTGATGCCACAAAATCTTTTGATATTCTTCATCATTGTCTCTGTCTTGAAAAATGTTCCAGTTTCTGTCAAAATGGAAAGTGAGATATATTATTAAAATTGTCTCCAGACATGAACATTATTGCCGAATACATTTCTGCGAAAGATTGGAAGTAGTCCTTTAGTTTCCCTGTTGTTTTAAAAGAGTGGACAAATAAGGGGTCCTCTGATAGTCTGACTGGTAATACTTTGTTTCAGAAGCTTTAAACAGACTTCAAGCTTTTTAGAACACATCTTCCAGCTTTTTGGGTACTTTTTTACAACACTGCTAGAAACCCACAATACAGCTAAGAATTGCTAATGTGAACATATGATTTTTAGCTTCCTATTAGGCCTTAATTGAACTAGTTCCTATTTTTTATTAGTCTGGACTTGTAGTTGTCTGCATCTAGTACTTAGATTGACTTAACTTGCAGTGGATACTACTACACTTCATATTAGGGCTGAATAATTAATTACATTTGGAATAGAATCACAATTTGAAAAAGTTATGGTCACCTTCATTTTTCCAGACACTAACTTTCTCACCCCAGCCATTTTAAATGCCGGTAATACGCTTAAAGTAGGTTTGTTGCCACACAGAAGGGAAGAGATAGTTTCAGCTGGTGCACAGATCAAGTATTCGAGTTAGAAGTAAGCACATTTCCATCAAATAGTAAAGTCCCAGGACAATTTACTCTGAAAAAGAGAGCATTCAATGCCGTGGAAACAAGGAAATTCTGGAATCAAACAGCCTGTTGTCAATGCAGAGAAAAAAATAAAATAAAATTTATTGCAGTTTTGTTTAAAAGAAATCACAATTTAGGTTTATGGCTAAATTGCACAGCTCCATTTCTTAACCATGTGTATTTGTGCATGAACGAGTTTGTAAATTCTTTGCCCCATTTAAAACCGTATTAAAACAATAAAAGGGAGTTGCAGTAATGCTTTTTCTTTTGTTCAGACCACATTGAATTTAAAACACAGTAAAGTATTCAATTTATGGGCTTCAATATTTTTTACTACATATTCTTAAAAAAATATGTGAAAGCCTAGACTCTACTTGTGGCAGTAAACAAGAGAGGGATTCGTTGTAGAGACAGGCAGTAATCGTATAGTTTATTGTTGAACAAATATGGTAGAGTTGGCAATCCTGTAAGAACAAAACTAAAAGTAAGGTTGAAATCATTAGTTTTCCTGTTTCAACTTCTTTTCCACCCTTGGTTTTAACCGCTGGTGTGGGAAAAAATAGATTTGGCGATATATTGTGATTTCAGCTGCCCGATATAATATCGATCTTTCACTTCTTGGAATCGATTTAAAAAAACAAATACATTTTTACATAAAACAATGAGGAAAATGGGCTAACTCTGCACCGCCACACTGGTAGATAGTGCTATGGAGCCCTTTTGCTGTGTGACAGAGCACCATATCTGTAGTTGAGGCAGTCACAGTAGAGGACATGGACTGATTCAAACCCCAAGCAACGTGGACACCAAAATAACTGAATGATCAATATCTTCTGATGAACAATCTCCTTTTTTTATCTTCTTTTATCAATTATATTTTGATAGCTGAGGAAAAAGTATTGCAGTATATGGTGATATTGCAATATCGTGATAATATTTTATTGTGATCCAAGTATCGTGACACGTATCGCATCACAACACCCATGCCAATACTAACCCCTAGTTATAACTCATTATTCATAAATAAAAGTCATCATTGAATGCTATTGTTGTGTACTGTCCAACGTGATATATAATAAGGAAACTTGAATTGACTGTGGCAATAATTTAAAAATAATGAATAAGTTGTGTTTTTGGGGCTCCATGTGTCTCTGTTAGACAGTAACAGTTGATTAGATGTTGAGTCTTTGTTTCAGTGTTCTGATTGTTACAAAGAAACTACCATTACTGTCCCCTCCCTTTTGTACCCCTGTACTGAAAGGTATTAGTTAGTTCTTTTGTGAAAAGGAGCTTCCTGTGTTTCCACTCTCACCCTCAACTCAAGAGATGGTGGGCTGGACATAAGAGACTAACTTGCCTCAGAGACCTCCTGTCATCCAGTGCCAAGGCAAAGCTAATGAGTGTGCCTGATTACAACGACCCCCTCAGACACACGAACCTCCTCTCTCCCCAAACCTCCACAGCTTCCATCTCTAGAGTGAGGGTAGACAGCCGCTGCATGATCGATGTCTGCCTGTGGAGAAATCAGGAGGGCGCACAAATTAATTTCTCACTTTCCTCATTTGACTTCATCTGACTGATTTATTTTGTGCATGGATTGATGAACGGTCAATGAGAAAACGAGTCGCTTGGAGTGGAAAACTTTTAAGATGCCGTCAAGCTTGTCACCTGTGACTTTAAAAATGTTTCGACACAGGTAATCAAACAGCGGTCGTTCAAGCTCATGGCTAAAAGAACATTGAATGGAAAGGCAACAAAAATGGCTCTGCTGATTTTCCTCCATCTGGCAGTTTGACGGACAGACCCACAAAAGCCATTTGACTTCTGAGAAGCCAGTGGCTTAATCAGAAACGGTTTGAAGACCTGCCGTCATAACTTGCAAACTTTTGTGATTCTGCAAGTTTGCTGCAAGTCCTGTATCTTGGCTCTCATTCATATTTGATAAGTAGCAGAAGCAAAGGATAAATTCTAACAAAAGAGGCTTCTCTAACAGACAGATAGTAAAATGCATCGTGTAGAAAGGCAGGAACAGCTTGATGTCTAAGATTTAATGAGGCAGGATGCTTCTTTACTAAGAGAGTCTTGGGTAGCTTAAGATCTGCAGCTTGGCTTTACCATTATACAGCCTGTATGTAATTATACCACATGCTCTGTCCTTGTGCTTCCCCTTTACAAATATATAAATTATTCCTTTCTTTTCTTCTTGCTCTTGGTGAAGCAAGTCTCACAGTGCTTTTCCTTTTCTGTAAGAGTGTTATGGCTTTGTCAAAGCGGAGGAGACCGAGAAGAGTTATAGACATCTGAAGTCTTGGTTAGGTGCTGTAGTGAAGTGTAGAGTAGTGCAATGTCTGAATCTCTGGCTCTGCTTAGGTCCAGGCTGCCCGCAGATCAATGGACTGCAGGGCTCAGTACAGCGGGAAGAGGAAGGGACTCTTTCACTCCACCACTTCAGAAAATCATACTCTCTATTATTCATTTCCTTTGATGTTTCCCTGCACTAATGGCATGGCAAGGCGCTCTGTTCAATATTATCACTCCCAGTGAGGGAGTTGGTAAGGCAGAGAGAGAAAGAGCATTTGGTATGTTCAAATGTTGTTTCTCAATTAGCCGCTTTGATTTTCACCCTCTCTCTCTCTGTATGTTTGTATCTCTTCTCTGCGTTCAGGTTTTACGGGAGGTGGAAGCCGCCTGTATACCTGTGCTTTCGTCGTGCGGCCCCATCTCGCTCTCTCCTTTCTCGGTGTTGTCATCATTGCTTGTACTTACTCCTACTGTAATTGTTTGACACCTGTATCACTTTCATCTCAGCTTACCGTGCATCATAAATTTTTTATTAATATACTACAATTGTTTTGTTTTTGCTAAATAGCAAGATAGGCATGCCGCTTGAAACCTGAGATTTTGACACGCTCAAAGCATTTAGATAAACAGGTTTTGTTCTATGCTTTTAAGTTTCTAGTGCATTGATTTAATCACCTATAATTAAAGTAGGAAGACTTGGGGAGAGAAAAACTCACACACCAAGTACAAGAACCCCCCTCGAGCTCAAAATTATAGTCTTTCCCTTTAAATATATTCCTAAAAATTGCAAAGAATTATGCAAGTTCGTGGCTTCATCGCCCGGATGATGTTCTTTAATGATGAGTAGAATAAGTGGATGTGACGAATAACCCTCTAAATCCCATCCACACAGAGGATGGTAGACTCAGAGGCATGTGGCATTAGAATGTGGCGTGACCTATATATGTTGGGTGCTCAGCAGAAGTTTTAGATTTTTAAATAATGAGGTACCGGCAAGCCTGTGAAGGTTATTCAATCTTAATGTCCTCCCATTTCTGACAGCCTCTCTCACTCTGATAAAGAAGTGCGCTCACCTTTGATCAGGCCCGCCGACACGTGTCGACAGAAGCTGCTCACTGGTTAAAATAAATTCTTAATTTGAACTTGGGGGTGGGTGGTTGCATGGTGGTTTGCCAGGGAGGGATTCAAGTGTGTAGGGAGGGGGGAGCACGTCGCAAGATCAGGATCTCTTGAAAACGATGGAAGGGGGAAATGAGCAGATCTATGCGTTGGTAATG